CCTAAACACAAAATGGCCATTATTCAGGCTTTTCAGGAAAATGGATCTATTGTCGCCATGACTGGAGATGGAGGTATGATTTCTTCAATCTGTATTTAGCTGTTGTTCTTTTCCCTATCTAATTATTCTCATGACTCAACGTTAATTTCCATTCAGTAAATGATGCACCCGCATTAAAAATAGCAGATATAGGTATATCTATGGGAAAAAGTGGTACGGACGTATCAAGGGAAGCTGCAGATATAATATTGGTTAATGATAATTTCACCACAATATTAGATGCCGTGAAAGAAGGTATTTTATTTTTTGTACTCAATCATCATTGAATACTTAAAAGATAATAATATTATATTTATTATTATTATTAGGAAAATCAATATTTTATAACATAAGGAATTTCCTAACATTTCAATTAAGTACAAGCATAGCGGCATTAACATTAATCACTATGTCAACGATATCTGGATTGCCTAACCCTCTGAACGCTATGCAAATTTTATGGATCAGTGAGTTTTCTTTACGTTAAATTAATAATTTAGATACATCAGGATTGGTTTTAAATACCTTAATCACTATAGATATATTAATGGACGGCCCACCTGCACAGTCACTTGGTGTAGAGCCTGTTGATGAAAGCGTGATGCTACAACCACCAAGAAAGAAAGATTCTCCAATCTTAACATCTGCATTAATAATGCGAGTACTTACATGTGCAGCAATAATTGTCGCTGGTACATTATTCACCTATATTACCGAAATGCGTGATGGTATAGTTACTGCACGAGACACTACCATGGTATGAAAAAAATTTTCTACTTATTTAATACTCACTGTAACCACTAGTTAACCTCTAAAAACTCTTATTTAACGTTTTCATAGACATTCACATGCTTTGTATTTTTCGACATGTTTAACGCGCTGAGTTGTCGTTCCGAGAAAAAGTCCATATTTAAATTGGGAATATTTTCAAATTCGATGTTTAATTTAGCAGTTACATTCTCTCTGATTGGACAATTATTGGTAATATACGTACCATTCTTTCAAACAATATTTCAAACGGAGGCACTAGGGTTTGAGGATATTTGTGGTCTCATTCTCTTGACCTCAACGGTATTTTGGATTGATGAATTTCGCAAACATTATCACAATCAGAA